TTCTTTATCCGCTTACAAGAGAAGGAGCTACTTAATCAACTAAATGGAGCATTGCTCCTGGACTATTCTTCTCCCTTCTCCTCCTCCTTTTCTATCTTTTCTTTATTCCTCTTTTCTTAATTCCCCTCTTATTTCTAACACTCCAATGCTACCTTTCCTCTTAAATAGTTAGTACTTGTACTCATAATTAATAATAGTACATGTAATTAAATACTATAATTAAATAATAAGTACATGTAATTAACTAATAATAGTACATGTAATTAAATACTATAATTAAATAATAAGTACATGTAATTAACTAATAATAGTACATGTACACTTAATTAATTAAAAGTATAGTACATGTACTTCAATATAATTATATTGTTGCTTACTTCCTCTAGCTATAGCTCTTGCATGGGCCTATAATTGAAGACATTAGCCTTTAAGGGAGAGGGAGGGGGGCAGAGACAGCTGGTAGCATAGATTCTAAGAACAAAGCCTGCATGAAGACAAGAGCATCTTAGAGAGTGAGGGGGACATGGAGAGAGGGGGACATGAAGAGGGAGAAAGAGGGAGGGGGAGAGAGACAGCTAGTGGGAGATTCAAAGAGGAAAGCCTGAAGATAAGAGCATCTTAGAGAGAGGGAGGAGAGAGAGAGAGAGGAGGAGCTGATGAACAGCAGTATAACTAAATCATGTAAGTTATTGAGAGGATGAGAGAGAGAGAGGGAGGGAGTGTATTCTGGAGATTAATGTGTTAACTTGTTTTTGCTTTATTTGATTTAGGAGGAGCTGATGAACAGCTGTGTATAACTAAATCATGTATGTTATTGAGAAAGGAGAGAGAGAGGGAGGGAGTGCATTCTGGAGATTAACGTGTTAACTTGTTTTTGCTTTATTTGATTTTTAAGGAGGAGCTGAATCAGCTGATGAACAGCTGCAGTGTAACTAAATATGTAAGTTATTGAGAGAGGGAAGGGAGGGAGGGAGGGAGGGAGTGTATTTAGGAAAGTATATTGCTAGCTTGTTTTCGTACGTTATTTTATTTTTAGGAGCTGTATAAAGGTAGTGGGTACGTGTCAAGTCCTTGTGAAGTCCTTGGTTTTTGTGAGGCCTTTGATGTCTTTTTCCACATTCAATTGAATCATTGGAGAGGTCCTTTTGTGTGTTGGAGTCTAATAGCTTTGGGGCAGAGGTATTGAGAAGATTATAGAGCAAGTTGTTATTGCATTATTGTAATGCTAGTTGGGACTGCCTGTAGCTAATATCTTTTCATTATCATTATTGCCTGTAGCTGTAGCTGTGTGTATGATATTGTTATTGGGGAATCCCTTACTGATTCTGTTACGATCAATATGGTAGGAGATAGGACTCAATTCATTATTATGTTAATGGTACTGTATTAAGGGTCACTGGTTATAATGTAGGTGATAGAATTAGGTTATACAAACAATGTATTTAATGTGTAACCAAAATTAATGTATGTACATGTAAATTCCTGTTTTATTACACATGGATATATATTGTTTGATTTTATAATGGTCCTAAACATGACGGTAAACTGTTTCTAAGTTTAGCTATTATTGGTGTGTTTGTATATACTAATATTGGTTGTCCCTAACTGATTCTGTATGTATGTACTTGTGCCCATGACTAGTGGACAGAGTCCCTTAATGTTACTTTACTGTTTTTAACATGTTAGTGTCTGCATGTACATGTGTTCAAATGTGTCCTCATGTAACAAATATTCTCCCATTCATGTTCATATTATTATTATTGATATGCTGATGTACATGTACATGTATGTATTATATGTATTGTATTGATACACGTGTCCTCACGTAGCGTAAGATCATAATGTCTCCTGGTCTCCAGTCTTGCTTTCTCTGGACAGTTTGTCATCATTGGATCAGTCCACCTACTTGAAGGAAGACTTTAATCTATTTTGGTATTTTCAACCGCATCATCTATTTATTGAGGGCCCGCTTGTCACCATTCCATATAATTTACTAACGATTCTTTGGAAAAGACACAAGGAGGCTGTCATATACTGGGGACACAAGACTTACCACTCTTATCATAGCATTGAGGCTCAAGGATCCAGCACTAATCTACAGTTTACAATTGGATCTTCTTCATCTGTCTCAGAGGAGGAAGGAGAGGAACTGATAGACATACCAGAGGAGGAGAGGAAAACATATCGTAGCTGTTTTGGATTTAATGAAGACATGAGCATCTTTTTTCATTGTATGGGTTGAACTACCCTTTTTTACAGTGACCTGCTTTTAGTCCCGATCATATGAGAGGGAAGGGGAGGGTCAGCGAAGAGGGGAGGGTTCTGCCCAGGAGTGTGGGCGAGGAGTCCCCCTTTTGGGTCCGATAGTGGCTCCCCGTATCTCATGCTAGAGCCCTCTCTTCTTCTCTTTCTCTCTTTTTCCTTTTTGTGTGATATGGACTCTAACCAGAAGAAAGCATCAGACTTTTTCTTTTTATGTCTCGATCCTTTAACTACCTAAAACCAGGCAAAAACTATACAGTTGGTCTAAGCCGGGTCACAGTGGGTAGATTGGTGAGGTTTGTGATGCAGGTAGCCTGACGGTCCTGGGCACTAGCTTCCTAATTCTCATTCTGATCTCTTTCTCGATCCCGTGGCTTTGACTTATGATCAATTGTTGAGTGTTTGCCCCAGCTTTCAAAATAAGTCAGTAACTCTCATTGTAGGTTTATTATTGACGTAGCATCAAAATTGCATGCGCATGATCTAACGTTTTGATGCAAATAACGCGTTAAAGTTGACACGATATTAGCGAAATTTTAGTTTTGCAATGCATTTTGCTGCGAGTGTGTATTGTTATTTTATAGCCAGCACGATTAATTTCATAATTATTATTATTCTGTATTATCAGTACTATAATATGCACATTGTGTTAGATTGTGTATCAATTAGGACAACCCCTATGATGTTAATGTTGTAGAGGTTACAATATATAGACAAGGATGACATGCAGAGGTAGTAGTAGGTTATCAGTTAATGGTACAGTTACATAAAGTATTAAGACAAGTTGTCTTACATTGTGTGGTCATACATTGTAGATACATGTATAATGATATGGTATTAAGATAGGAATGTATTTGTGTAGCAAGGTTAATATGGTATAGGTATCATTGTGTCATTATCAAGGTTCATAGGTTAATAAGTTAATGTATGGTAGTGAAATATAGGAACATATCCATATAGCAAGGTTAATATTATGATGTTGTAGGTAACATTAATGGTTGTACACAAGTAATGGTATGGTATTAAGACAATATACTGGTATAGCAGGATTAATGCAAGGTATGGTGTTGGTATTGTGTCATATTAAGGATCATAATTGTAGTGACCGAGAAGGAAAGGTAAAGAGAGGTCTCGCGGGAATCAACGAATGAATTTATCAATAAGTTAAAAACTTCTTCTTAAAACTGAAGAATGCACACACTTAAATACACAGAAATCAATTGCATCATAATACATCACTGACACACATTGCATAATATTACATAACACTAGAAAGGAATCTTAATCAACAATGCATACATTATATAACCTACATAAGAAATGAAAATAAGTACAGAAATAATAATTAGGAAAAATGATAATAATAACAATACAATACATCCCTAGGAAAATAATTATAAATAAGCATACATTAACATTATCAGTTATAACAATAATGTTATGAGTTGTACATATTAGTAATGGTATAAGAATGTACTTGTATAGCAAGGTTAATATGGTATAGGTATCATTGTGTCATTATTGAGGTTCATAGGTTAATAAGTTAATGTTTGGTAATGAAGGATAGGAACATATCCACTGGTATAGCAATAAAGTTAATGTGATATAGGTATCATTAATGGTTGTACACAGGTAATGGTATGGTGTTAGGATAAGGTTAATACAATGTATGGGGTAAGTATTATTGTCAGATTAAGGATCATATGTTATAAGTTGTACGTATAGGTAATGGTATATGGTATACGAATGTACTTGTATAGCAGTATAAGGTTAATATGGCATAGGTTATGGTTTTATGGTGTCATGTTCATGCATAGTCACAAGTTATAACGGTTAATGAAGATAGGAACATACCCACTTGTATGGTTTATATGGTATTGTAGTAAAGGGTCATATCATAGGTTATAAGTAGTCTTTATTAGCTGTAGTGTGGATATGATGAATGGGTTAGACACCAGTACATTGGTGACAATTGCAACATCAACCAACAAACCCAATGATCCACTTTATACCAAACTAAAGGTTACAGTGTTCATATTTTCAACAATAGTTATAAGTTGTAGGTAGTAATGTACTGGTACAGGTTATAGTAAGATATTGAAGGTTAATGGTGTAGGAAACACTAGCAGTTTAGTAGCATCAACTGGTCAACAAGCTCCTGTCCACATTGTCTGTGTGGGATGTCTCACTGTTCAAGACGGTATTTTCTAAACATGTACATGTACAATACTTATTTTACAAGTTCTTTCTCAACACTTCAGCTACTGTTTTAAAGACTAATAATGAGAGCATCAAATTTGAAAGAGTTAAGTATCAATATTTATGATATTGTTCTTTATATTTCTTACTAGATACTGTCATTAGCTGAACAATGACATGCAATGTAAAGAATATCAAGTTTTGTGTCAACATTGTCATTGTGAAGGATCAAAATTAAGTATCATTCCAATACACACTATATTTGTTAACCTTTTTGTTAAGGTATTTTAAAATTATGGAGTCATTTCTGAAAGACAAAGCATTAAAATTGAAGTATTGTTCCATGACGCACTGTATGTATTACTCTTTTTTGTTCAGATATTTTAAAAGGCACTGTTTGAAAGGCAAAGATCTCACAGTACAGTATCAATAGTGTCATGTATTAACCTTTCTCTTTTGTTAAAGTTTTAGCACCAAGTTCCTCTTAAAGCCCATTCAGTTGGTCAATATTATATTGTTAACTATCATTATACAGGTTGGGCAGCAATGTAGTGTCGCCTCCACGTGGCGCTGCCTGGGATCACTAGTGGTTACTACTGCTAGTGATGCTAAGAGCACTACATACAAGAAGAATAGATACTAACAGGTACTATGTATGATGAATTACATTCCATTGGTAGGTTAATGACACTAAGAGGGTATGTACAATTCTCTGTTAATGAAGATTACATTAAGTATTGTATTACTGCATTTTATTTATTGATGCTGTCATTGCTTTAGGTTGTTGTTTGAAGCTGTATGTACCTTAAGAAGATTATTATGAAGCTGTGAAGAATTACTTTGATAGTATCGTTATTGTTCTATTACAATTTTGTTTATAATTATTTTAGTATTATTATTTTTTTTCAATTCGCAATTTCTTCTTTATTCATCATTGATTATGAATTTCGATTATAATTATTGCGGGAGCCATCAATGCAGAAGCAGGTGCCAACAGAAATGAGATTCATCCATGAACAATAAAAATAAAATTAATAATATCAAACACACTTCGGGCATACATCTAAGTGTATGTACAAACAAGTCAACAATCAAGAAATGGTAATAAATCAATCTGATAGTGTTACAGTCCTTAGTTCCTAAACAGAGTCTGAGTAATATGAATGAGACGATAGTTCAGGTCCACAGCCTATAATAAATAAGAAATGATTAATGATAAATTATTGATAAACATAAAGTCTAACATTAAGCTGATTCTAGCATAAATTTTTCAAATTACAGCCATTTTTTAAAATAGTAAATTTTAGCAAAGGCATGTAATATAATGTAATGATTTACATTTTGGTCATGATGGCTCATGGTTTTTTCCAAAAATGGCTCCAAAATCACCCCAAATTTTTATTAAATTTTTGATACATATCAATGTACTTATGCTGTGTGTAGATTCCGACAAATATTATTTGAGTTATGAGCATTATTTTAAAACAACCAATTTTCAAAATATACCAAGGCTATAATAGCCCATGGTTTTTCTTTAAAAATGGCTCAAAAATTGCCCCAAATTTTTATTACATTTTCTGATGCACATCAATGTACTTATGCTGTGTAGAAAGTTTGCGCCAATTCAGACAAATATTATTCAAGTTATTACAATTTTGTCCAAAAATATTACCTCCTGAATATGTCCAGTACAGCTGCTGTCTTCATAGCAATCAGTCCTGTCTTTATCTCTTTGACCTCATCTTCACTCATTAACTGATCATCAGTTCTTAATACTGGAGGAACATCACCTGTGGAGAGCTTCCTCTCAGCCTATTAATAAATGTAAATGTAAGTATCATTCATAAAGCTACATGTATATACAAACATGTAGTTGTTCCTCAAAATGGCAGCTTATGCAGAACTGAAATACAAGTAAACAGAACAAATGTCTGCAGAATAGATTCTGGTAGTATGAGACGGTTTGTATTATATTCATATTTGAGAGGTGATTGGGTAGAGCAAGAGGAGCTAATGAACCTTTATCCTCTTAATCAGACATGTCCTCTGCCTTCCAAACAAGCTCTCCACAAGCAAGATGAATCTGTACATGTAAAATGATTTGTAAAATTAATGTACAAGTTAATTTTTAATCTTACAGTGTACGTGTCTCATAACTGGTACACCTACTCTAATCCTTTTTATAATGAAAATTTATCTGAAGTAAAACAACAGTATTATTTTTTATTATCAGTAATATTCTACCACAAACAATTTTCAACAACTTTGGATATTGCATCCATTTTTATACTACAACTTCTTATTAGTAGCTGATCAGTCAGTATTTCTTGCTTTCACAATTTATCAATAGTTATAAAATAAGATTAGAATATAAAAAAACGATAATCATTCTAATAAACAACAAGTTGTTTATTACTACCATCACAAACATACAATAATCCATCTTTATTAAATGCTAATCCAATAGGATGATTAAACTGATCAATATTACTGCCTTTACTTCCAAACTTACTAACAAACACACCATCACTAGTGAAGACTGATATACGATGATTGCCAGCTTCACTAACATACACTAGACCAGTAGCTGCAGTGTCTATTGTTATACCTACTGGGTAACTAAGCTGTCCAGAATCAGATCCTTTAGTAACAAACTGACCCACAAACTTTCCATCTGGAGAGAACTTCTGAATACAATGACTTTTAGTATCAGCAACATACACTAATCCTTGACTGTCAATAGCAATGCCATGTGGAGACTGAAACTGTCCATTAGCTGATCCTTCACTACCAAATGAGTGAGAGAAGGTTAGATCAGGATTCAAGACTTGTATACGATGATTACCCTTATCAGCAATATAAACCTGTCCTGTTATAGGAGAAATGGCTATACCATGAGGACAATTGAATTGTAGTCCTCCACTGCCATCCTTACCAATTGATACTTTAAGGTATCCATCCATGCTTATCTTCTGGATCCTGTGATTATCAGATACAAGAATGAATTTGTCTGGAGTAATGGCTACACCACGAGGTTTAGAAAACTTGACATTACCACTTCCTCCCTCCCCTCCTAATGATTTCACTTTCTTTCCTTCTCTATCCAGTATTGTTACACAGTCACCACCATTCTCAGTTATTATAACATGATTATCATCATTTACAGCAACTCCACAGGGACGCTTAAGCTCAGTTATAGTACGTACTGGAGTGATGTTATCAAGGTAAGGATTGAAAGGGATGACTAGTGAGGTATCCTCAAGGTGTACATCATATACTTGTACTTTTACTGTATGAGTACCACGTGCTGAAGGGTTACACTGTATTCTATACACTCCAGGATCAGTGCTGGTCGTAGTGACTGTAGTGTCAATGGGTTTATGGCCTTTACCAATTGGTACTAGACTACACCTCAGATAAGTGAGGGGAACACACAAAACACATGAATCTGGTGCCTCCATTGATAGTGAAAACAAAGCTGCTTTGCTAATAATACGATCAATCTTCTTCACTCTACACTGCTGTAGTGCAGTAGTTCCTGAAATAATATCTCCAATGTGATGTAGTGATTTGATATCTTTACTCAATACAAAGTTACCTTTTTCCTTTGGATGTAACTCCTCCACATTGATCCCTCCAGTAACTTCACTCATACGCTCCATCATCTGTTTCTTACACCTCAGAACTTGTTGAGAACTGCCTGTCTTCAGACTCTGTTCCACATAATCCTCAACTTCCTCCAGAACACTCAAACTCATTTCTGCTGATTTCATTTGCTCTGACAGCACCTTTAGTTTATCATCAGTGACCCTCTTTGCCTGCTCAGTCAGTTTCCTCTCTGACTGACGAAGAACATTCATCATTTCCTCTACCATTTCGTGTATTTCTTCTAAGACTCCTTCTCCTCTCTCTCTGATCTCACCCTCTCTCTCTGCTAGAGCAGACAGGACCTTCTTGAGTGCTTCCTTCTTTCCCTCAACTGGTGATAGACATTCTCTTAACTTTTGACAGTGTTTAGTATAACTGTCAGTGATTAAGTCGTATTCATGATGTTTGTGATTACGAACTGAGCAGTCAGTCTACACTCAGAAGGTACACTTCTCTAAACACCGGAAGTGTAGGAAATTGTGTGGTTTCCACCATGTCAGAATTGTTAGCCACATTATTTTACTTATTTCTCTCACATAGTTAATTGAACAGTGCTGTAACTGGCACCATTAAGAGAGGAGAAGTTGCTTGTTATAAAGAAACAAGTTTGGTTTTCATGCACTAAGTATAAGCAAAGATTATGTTGTTGTGAAAAATGTTTGTTTAATAAAAATTGTTTGACTTTGATTTTTGTGCAAATCATTCACAGAATACTTGGAACCTCTACAGTCTTTCCATAGACTTAGAAAGGTTTAGTCTCCATGTCCTGCTAGTTTCAGTCCTAATAGAGCCAATATAGCTATCAAAAAAGTGCCGTGAAGTTGGTTAAAATCAGGCGGCCTAAAATCCTTGATTTACAAGAGCTGTTCTTCTTATGTTGCCACATACAGATAGAACCAACTCTTCTCCTTGCTATTACCAAGAATGAGCTTCATCCGTGCTTTTGTTTAGGAGATACACCTCTACTTGCACAGCCACCATTTTGACTTTTTAGCCACGAAGCGGCAACTTTGATTTTTGTGCAAATCATTCACAGGGGTGCTGGGCTTTTGCCAAAGGGTCTGGTACTGTACTTACCTTTGCTTAATACATTGTGATTGTCCTTTGGTGCTGGGTCTTATTTTATTCAGGTAAATTTCCCCTCAAAGTTGATGTGTTCTTCCAAATTTCATCTAATTAAGAGCCTACAACTACACGTGTTTCAAATTTTGAATGATT